TAAGCAATAATACTTTTGCAATCCGTACATCCAATACAGAGATTTTTCACCGAATGGAAATGTGGGTAAAACAGGAGGCTTTAGCATCGCCTTAAAGATAAGAGTAGATTTAATATAATTGTCCTCAATACGTGGCTAATAAATAAACAATAGAAACGGTTGAGCATATGCCACACACTAGATCTTGTTAGTGAAATATCATTAATATATTCGTATATAAAATTAAAGAATTACAATAATTATGTCAGATATAAAAAATCAAAGTATAAACGTTTCGGCCCTGAATGTGGCCATCTTCAGTATAAATAAAAAAAATATATAAAATTATAAAGATATAAAAATTACAGAATAACGGTTACAATTAGAAATATAATAAAGTTTTTTAATTGTCAATGTATAAAATAACTCAATTTAATGTTATTGAGTATTCAGATTTAACATGTTAAGTGAAATAAGTTCAAAATTTTAAAAAGTAAAATGAATTATGGGGTTTTTGGGATCGCTAAAACTAAATCTTTATGTCAAAAGTATAAAATTTAAAAGTTTTCTTCACATGCCACGTGCGATCATGAGTAAACGCAGCGGGCATACAAGCGTTTTCCCTTTTCATTGACACATACATACACTGTAGATATGAGCGGTCTGATGAACAGAGTTGAAAAAACTGTAGATACAGCACGTAGCCGAAATCGTCAACATAGATTTTCAACTTATTTCACATAATGTGCTAAATCTACCCTTACCTTTAAGGGATAGTTTTCACTCTTTGCCGATAAAAAAAATACGTGTCAAATATTTTTCAAAATTCTACAAATATGTTTCATTAAAATCGGTGAGTGATACTTCCGTAGGTTTACTTGTAAGAATATCTGTATACATAAACTTCTATGAACAATTAAATTTAAGTCTTAAATATATTGATCGTAAATATATATTTTTATAAATGTTACATACGACACATTTTCATAGAATTATTTTACACACACCAATTACTTTTCATTTATCATCTATACCAATAAATAATTATCTTATTTGTATTACTAGATACAATTTTGTGCACATAATTATGACAGATACCATTTACAAATAATAAAATCATGAAATATGTAATACAGGCAATAGGAGTCGACGCTGGTTAGCAATTAGCGCAATTTTTCTTACTAATACTAAAAACCTTAACTTTGAACGTTTCCACTCATGGTTTGAGTTTTCATCAGCAATCTTTCACCCTAGCGCAATAATTGGAGTATTGCATGACAAAATGATATCTCCAACATTTTTCATCTCAAAAATTGAACCATTTACTGTTGTAAGGTAAGTCACGTACTCACAAAGCTTAGAAAGCTGAGTGGCAATGAGAACTCACACAGTCGACGCTTCTACACAGTCGACACATATTGTTCTCGCAGTTATTTTTTAAAAATTTGACGATAATTTATAACATATTAACGAGTTACAAAATGTTCCATAAAAGAGATTCATTGTTCAGTGTAGAAGCGTCGACTGTGTGAGCTTGAGTTCTCATTGCCACTCAGCTTTATAACTTTGTGAGTATGTGACTTACCTCACAAAACAGTAAACGGTTCAATTTTTTAGATGAAAAACGTTGGAGATATCATTTTGTCATGCAATACTCCAATCGTTGCACTAGGGTGAAAGATTGCTGATGAAGACTCAACCATGAGTGGAAACGTTCAAAGTTAAGGTTTACATTTTTAGTATTAAGAAAAATTGCACTAATTGATAACCAGCGTCGACTCCTATTGCCTGTATTATATATTTCATGATTTTATTAATTGTTCTAATTAAAGGAATCTGTAAAAATTTATTAGTTTTTTCGTTAATTTGTGATTTATCACCATTTACAAATTTTTCAATTAACTATACTAACTTAAATATACTAACATTTTGTTTAAGAATAAACCGAAATGTATATCAACAGACTTATTTAATTTGTACATATATATATTGTCAATTACACAAAAGTTAATACATGGCAGTTATAACTACAGTAATCATAATATTTATCATAAAAATATATTGTAATACAGATTCTGTAGTTTAATATATAAGATAAGAAGAATATTATGGAAATATTGTGCAAATATTGAACGAATGTGTCAATAATAAATCTAGTTTAGTAAAAAATCACTTTTATTATCATTCTTTTTATATTATGCTTAGAAAAACTGCAAATTAATTTACAATAAAAAGCATCTGCAAATGTGTAAAACTATTGGATTTCGTTGCAGAAACTTTCATGCGCTTTTGCGTACCGGATGTATCGGATGATCCATATCGGATACTGGTGGATGTTTCTCAAAATAACTGATTTCTCGCATTCCACTCGCCGCAATTTCCCAAAGATCAGGATGCTTCCGTTTGAAATTGTCATACCATTTCATTACGTAAGGCCAAGCATCCAATTTAAAGTCGATGGCTTCCAGGCACATTGTCGCGGTTATCAATGGAAAATCGGCGATTGTCAGGTTATCTATTAATAAATATATGTATGTACAACAATTTAACAATTAAAAATATTAATGTCTTATTTTATAATAAATAAATGAAAATAAATAACGAATTCTTTTTTATTATATGTATAATAATTGTACATATACAATATTAATTAATTATATACATAATTTTGTTTTCTTGAGACTCAACGGTGAGCGTTGATAATCATAAAATATCGGCGCCAACTATGGCATAAGAGTATTAATAAATACGCGCGTTCGGCAAATATGAGAATACGAGAATTCAATCGACAATTGGACTTACAGTATATTCACTAATGTTACGGTAATAAAGTGCTAAATTGAAACACAGACGATGATTGACAATCGCTCGCAACTTTGGTGCCTTTGGATACAATTTATCGCTTATATCATACTGATCGGCTAAATATTGTAGAATTGCGTTACTGTAACGTAACGCAGCAAGACATGAATTATATAAAAGTCGGATATAACAATGATATAAATAAAATCTATATGTATACTCAGTAAACGAAAATAAATTGAAATAGATAGAAATGAATCTATTTCGACATTTCCAAATTCGCGCTTCTGATTTTTCGAATCCATTTAAATCCATGAATATATCAAGGGATCGATTCTGTATCTTGAAACGAGGTGAAAATTACAAAAATGAGCGAATTTACTATAGAATACTGATAATTTCATTGGTCAATACCTAGTAAATTTGCTAGATTGAGATTGATTTTACATCGCGGACACTCAATATTTTGTCTAATTATACCTTTCTCGCACAAATAAGAAAATAACTCTTCGTAATTATCAATCAAGTGTAAAAATTCGTGAAGTTGCATGTTGACGTGTTAGAAATCTATCAACTACTGAATACAAGGAATGTTCGTGAGCTTTGATAAATCTATTATTGTTATGAATATATATAAGTGCGTATGTATACCCAACTGTGTTTATAACTATTCAAAGCACATGGGGGGGAGGGGGGTGAGAGTCGAGCGCCCCTGAAACAGGGGGGAGGGAGGGTGAGAGTCGTGCGCCCCTGAACCAGGGGAGAGAGGGTTGAGAGGTGCAGAGAGCCTTGCGCTCCTTTAAAGGGGAGGGAGGGTGGAAAGTTATATTCCCTTAATTAATTCACCTCGTACCTCTCTCGCTATTTTAAAGCAGAGGATTTTCGTGTTATATAGTTGAACTTCTTTTGTTAATAACTTTTTAACAAACAACGAGCGACGGCTAAAATTTGTTCAAGGTCATGACCTTGACAAAATGTCAAAGTCAAGGTCACCGGAGAATGCTCCCCTATTCGGCATATTTACTGACCACTCTATATAATATAGAGGATTTCTTACCTTTCACCCATTATAAGATCATTGTCGACAAGAGTAGGTATCTCTTTTTGTGGATTTAGCTGCAAGATTCAATATGTTTGTTCAATATGTTATTTTAATTATTTATTCACATTTTTCTTCTTTTTTTAACTGTACCTTTTCGTATTCTTTAGTCATATGGTCACCTTTTCCAAAATTCACATTGACCAATTCGTACTTAATATCTAAAGCCTTCAATAGTTGCTGACATGCAAGAGACGGTGGACCGTCCGAAACACTATATAGCTTCATATTGTATCTGCAAGTATTATAAACCAGATCAGAGGTATATATATTACATATAAATTTGTATTAACTCTAAATATATTAACAAAATTAAAATATATAAACAATTCAATATTCAATGTTCAATAAAAAAATCGTAATTTTATGAAACTAAATTTGCAGAAAATTAAAAAAAAATCTCATTCACATAAGGAATTTAATAGTTATTTTTGAAAAAAAACTATTAATTTATAACAGACTATAGAAGCTTTTCAAAAAGTGATCGCAAAAATCATCCGTCTTTGGGTCTTCGATTTGCGACTAAACTCTTTGTCCAATATATAGTACCTTGTAATGAGACATTATTAATCACAGAGAAGTTTCAAGTTGAGGTAATAAAATTGTTTTCAGAGCTGGGGGGGAGGGGGATGGAATCAAAGGCCATTATCGAATTATCATTACAGATGTGCGAAGTTCGATATTTTAAGAAGGTAAATAATTGATCCGATAAAGACAAGATCGCGATCGATTAATCGTATCCATCACGCATAGTTGTCACTCACGCAGTCAGCTGCCCCTCTCCAGCGTAGCATAGGGAAAGGGAAGATTCTTTCCAGTATACGTATATAACTCATTATGGCAAACGCACTTCTGCAGTCTTACGTAAATGACACTTTAAATGTAAAAAAATCGGATTTTCGCATAGACGTATATAATATACGAATTAACACGTGACACCCCCTCCAGCTATGATAACAATTGTCACTTCAATCTAAAATTTCTTTGTAATTAATATCTCATAATGTAGGGTATCATTTAGCACACATTTCAGTCCAAAAATTGAGGACTTAAAAATGAGTGAAAAAAAACTCCTTTTTTTGCGGTCACTCTTTTATCAGTTTAAAATATATGCTCTTTTAAACATTCATGATCTTCTACATCGAACAACATCGATTAAAACATACTATACATAAATAAATAAACTGTATTTTTAACCGATTAAAACGTACTATACATAAATAAATAAACTAGTATTATGAAATTAATTGTATTATTTGAGTAAATAATATTACTTACATTATTATTTAACAGCAAGAGATAAAAAATGCGACTGCAAGCTGCTACGACAGAAACGTAAAAGACATCACTCTTGATAAGACAAGTGCCTTTCACTATTTATTCAAGGTTTATAGTATCACGTGACCTACTTTATAAATTCTATTGCATAATGTATGTGATGTATCTGAATGCATTACTTGAGAAACTTCCGATAATATTGAATTACTTTATCTCCACAGCTGATAAAATTATTTTTCACTCATGAACTTAAATTAATAAATGTTTTCATATAAAACAAGTCATAATTTTTTAATCGTAATCAGTAACTCAAATCAATGAGAAGAGTAATATATGTATGTAGATAACAAAAAAAGTATATCGTTAAAAAAGTATGAGAGTAGAACATATTGTATATAATTTTGAAAATTACACGAATATAACTAGCATACAATATTTTTTAAGAAATAAATATTATATACTTTATTTGATCTCTCTCTCTCTTAGATTATTTTGTTGCACGCGGATACAATTATGTTGATGGACAAATGGAGAATCAATTCTTAACTAACAAGTATATAATAACAATGAGAATTACCATCTAATTATAGTATTCCAATAACTTATGACGGTTTTTGTTATCAGGGAGTAGCGACAAAACAAAATATTATAAATAAAATATATAATAGTCACAAAATTCATAGACGTATCTATCATCCCAAAATTTCATAATACTAATTAATTAATAACAATAATAAACTGTGTCTAAATTAACATAAAACTGCAGCTATAAAATTAAAAACTGTTAATTCTTAAAAACGCTTTTCTTTTTTTCTATTCAGTGAGATACAGAATATATTTACAAATTCTAATGTGATACTTTAAAAAAGTTTTTGTTATCTTTTGGGCATCATTGGCGGTTGCATCTCTCGTTACAAAAATGTCGGTTTGTGGAACACAGTTAATATACAAGCCCATTAACGCATATTTATGTTCATAATATGCATTCGCATTTTGCATTGTTATATGTTATAATAGCAAATAATTTACATTCGTATCTCAATTATATATATGCGTTCATACACACAGATATTAGACAAAATTGTAGGAATAGAAGTCTATATGTTTAGACTTCAAGGAGGGAAATTACACTTACAGCACAATATAACAGGAATTAGTTTTTCTTTCTTTACTAAATGTGTACTAAGTTTTTCTTTTTATTTCACATTGCATTTGATATGTTATAATTGCAATGTAATATACATGTACCTTATTAGAATTATATAAATGTAAACAATGTAATGTTTAATAAAGTCAATCAATTCATATGAGTTAGAAACAAATGTTCAAGAACATACAATTACATTTTACGTTTTATGATAATTTTATCTTTTACAAATATTTTACAATTTTATATAACCTGGAAAAATGCCTTTCTTGAAGAAGAAAAAAGAAAATGTAGGGTATGAAGTACTTAGGAGAATATAAAATATATTATATAACAAGAAATATAAAACATATCTTCTTTTTGAATTTTTTGTAAAAATGTAGAATATGAACATCTTTAACTTTTATTTTTCGACATTCTATGAAACTTTCGTATCGCAGATTTTCTTTGTAAATGTTAATTCGCTGGCGATATAACAATATGTAATTTGAGCATGTCTTTATTAGGGCCCACTAAAAAAGGAGATACAACATTTTCCGATACTGAGCCCTGTTGTGGATTAAGTTCCTCAAACGGCAAAAGATCATCTAAATTCAGGACACGATCCTTCTTACTGAATCTATGAATAATCTCGGTAACTCTTGCAATGTGCTCAACACCATCTTGTAAGCCATAAATCAAAACTCCGATTTTCACGCGCATGTTACTATTTAATGGCTCCTTACAAGTCAACGACAATCTCACTGATCGCTTGACATGTTCGGGCATCTCCACTGTACCCTGCCATACTATAAGGAAAAATTTCTTGAACCACACACCCTTAGGATAGATATCTACTACCCATTCGCACACTCTATCGCCTGCATACTCCGCTAAACTGGAGTGACTAGAAAATACAAGTGTCCTCATGTGATAAGACGGCAAACTGTGAAAGTTTTCTATGGTCAGTAATGAGCTACAGGTGTCAACAGTATACAATCTCGGCTCAAACAATAATGCGCCATCCTCTTCACTCATGCTGACTTCTTTTACTCTGTTGATTTGTCCCGAATGAAAAGACATCCCAATAGACATACGTTCCACAAAGAATTCCTTATACTTTTTTGTTAATGGTGACAGTAGCAAATCTGCCAATTGTCGCGGTGACATCATTGGAAATCTAACAGGCGACATCACAGCTATCACCAATTGATACAATGTTGCTTCCACCTCTTCTGGCGATAGCTGTGCTCTCAAACGATTTGCTTGATAATTCAGCCAATGTTCTAGGCACTTGTAAAGCGTCATTTCATCTTTCACAACTAAACTACTTTGATGTAACAAGGACACTAGAATATCCAAATCAAAATTCCCAAAGTCTGCAGTCTTGGTCACAAGCTCCAAATTCCACTTGATGAAATTTTGGCACGCTTGACTAATATCGTGATGCCCACAATTCAACGTGTATTGCAGCCACGATACTAATGTGCCATGTATAGCAGCCAATGCGACATGATTCCGCATATAGTCAAGGCACAACGATATCAAATCTTTGACGTTGTACTTATCGGCTAGGGATAATATAGGTAGAACAACACTATGATTTATTCTTATCTGACCAGTGTAAAAATAACGCAAAAATTCACTGAATATTGGTGCACACTGTGGCGTTTCTTGGAGAGTTACCCTGCTTTCCTGAGACTCGCTCCATTGTGGACTCATTAGCATTACCTGTAATATAACAATAATACCGATTATATCATTCTGTAATTAATCTTTATTTCATTTAACAGATTTCTGTACTTACTTGGAAAACATCACTAGAAGCACAGAGTATTAGTCTATGTGCTGGATATTCTACGCCATCCACAACAAGACAAATATCATTCATAAGACGCTCCGCATACAGTGTTGCTATCTTTAGCAGGACTGTACGAGAATTGTCTACCTATAATCAATAGATTATTGAATAATAAGTCAACAAATATACATTTAAATAGCAAAGAGGTTTTGTAACGCTTTATACATACCTCTATAGAGTCTGAACTCTCAGACTGTGCAACAGTACTACTAACCGCTCCTGATCTCTTGCTGGAATCCATCCTCGAGGTGCCTGTCATCCACCCGATAGTAGTCCGTAACATCTGAACATGTTTTCTCGACGTATTTGTAGTTCAATCGTTGCTCAATATTACCAAAAAAGAAATTTGAGGACAATAGACTGTTTCCACAGAACCTTCCATTATTTCAAACTAGTGTAACGAATTCTATAAATAATTAACATAAAGAGATAAAATTTTATGAATAATTAATTTTTCATTGTAAGAGCTTATACATGCATTTTTAGCATAATATATATATATATAT